ACAAATTTAAACATTTCTAGGCCTAGTATAGCACACATATGTACTATATTAGGGCTCGGGTATCGAGTGTGAGGCCTAGGAAGCTAAAGTTAGGTTGGTATAATTCACCAAAGCAACATTAGTAGAAAATAGTTTCTCGGTTTGTCCCAAGTCAATAGTGCCGATTTCTACTCTCTAATTTCGTCGGTATATACACTATGGCTCTCGTCGTCACTATAAGTACTACCAGAACAGGAGGATGGGTTGGATATATAATGATATATACAGATGATATAAGCGCAGTGGAGCAGTTATATTTCTCAGTCAGATACCAACATGTCTTAAACTAGGTCAGGATTCAACAAAGCATTTACATGACTACTTACGAAATCTGTACATCCTTTTGTTTTTCAATCAAGGTGCCTTGATAGATTTTATTTAAAAAAAATGAGCAACGAGCTGTCTTTAACAACAATAACATTGAGTGAGAGCGACTTTGCTGCATTTGCAAGCTGTTTAAGAACGTGATCGAGGTTAGATGCACAGGTTTCGTAAGTGGTCACGTGAATGCTTAGTGAATGGTGGCCCCAGGTACCGCAGGGTACCTGCAGGGTACGCTGCCTCCTTTAGGAAGGGAAGGGAATCATCAGGGGAAAGCACCAAGCCATTGCGACTATATAGCACTGGAAAGGGGACAGGATAAGGATTTGGGATGGGACGGAGGGAAGGAATGTTGCCCAACCACTTGGACGGTCGGGGATTGAACGCCGACCTGCATGAAGTGAGACCGCCGCTCTACCGTTCAGCCCAAGTGGCCTCCTTTAGGAAATAAAGATAAGACAATAGACACAGGTAACACTGACCTACAACAGTCATGGTGGCCACGGCGGACTCCGTGTGGAAGGACGGGGCTTCGGCGGAGACCTCGCAGCGGAAGACGCCCGCAGCCGCAAGCGTCACCTCCTGTATCCTGACGCGGCCCCGGTGCGACGCCGCCGGGTCCACCGTCAGCGGGTCGCCTCTCACCGGGAAGGTCTTCACCGGCGGGTTCTCCGCTGGCGTCCAGCGGTAGAACTCGTCCAGACCCAAGTACCACTTGAGGGCGTAGACGCTCTCGCCCTCGTCCAGAAACTCGCACTCCAGCCACCCACCGTCGCCCACCGCCACGGGCGTCGGCACGCCCACCTTCGTGATGTGCAGGCACTCAGCCACCTCTGTAATGTACATGTGACTATATGTAACAAAATTCTGTCAGCAGAACTATTCGCATACTTTGCCTCATTATGTAATTTAATGTAAAAAAATAGTGGAATTCAGAGATAATACTATCAATGGTGTCCAAGAATTGTGTAAGTATTTCATTCATAATGATGTACTGCCGGGAATCTTGGCGAAGTAGCCAAAATGTGCTGACTGTAGGTGCAGCCTGCACATGACTGTTAAACTGCCGCCCAGTTGGGTGGGTGTGGAGCAAGACTAGTAACTGTGTGACTCACCATAGATGTAAAGTGCCTTGTATAGTGACTGTTGTGAGCCTCTTGTTGAATCACTTGTGATATACAAGATGATTAATATGTATTTGTGTATATATATATATATATATATATATATATATATATATATATATATATATATATATATATATATGTTCATATACATGTAATATTAACAATTGTTTAACTACCTTCACAAAACTGTCACTTGCTTAGCTAAACGAACTAATGGGTTCAGTCCTTGAGCCCATTATGTGCCTCTGTAACCCTCCCCCCCCCACCTCCCACGGGATATGGGTATGAGGTGCATAATAAATAAATGAGTGTGAATCTACAAGGCCACATACCCGGATGTCTCAGTAATGGACACTAACCCCTTGTTGGTACCGGACAGAACTCCATACAGGACAGAGTGTGGTATATGGGAGGCATACAGGGACGTATTCCTTCAAAACCTCTTGTATAAACCTACAAACAAAAGCACACAAAAGCAAAGGCTGTCGACACAACAAACGCCTTTTTTTGTGATAATTTGTGCTAGGTAAGGCTGGGTTTAGTTACTTTTTTACGTTAGAGTTGGTTAAGTTATATTTTGTTTGGTTATATTAGGTTAAGTTAGGTTAGGGTTGGTTAGGTTAAGTTAGGTTAGGGTTGGTTAGGTTAGGTTAGGTTAGGGTTGGTTAGGTTAGGTTAGGTTAGGGTTGGTTAGGTTAAGTTAGGTTAGGGTTGGTTAGGTTAAGTTAGGTTAGGGTTGGTTAAGTTAAGTTAGGTTAGGGTTGGTTAAGTTAAGTTAGGTTAGGGTTGGTTAAGTTAAGTTAGGTTAGGGTTGGTTAAGTTAAGTTAGGTTAGGGTTGGTGTGTATATAGGCTGACCATTTTTTCTTTCAAATTTTGTATGTCGTATTCTACACTTGTTCTGAACTTAAATATCAGAAGCGGTGGATGAAACACACACCAACCATACCATTATCAATTCTAACATGGCATCATAGTTGCTACAAGAAGCCCACTCGAACACGAAGCCAGGAAAGACGAACCTTAATACTCATATGGTAATTAAGTATTCCATTTAGCTTCCATTGGCGCTCCTTATGTTCTGTAAAGTTGCTTGATCACATTTCACATTTTGAGGTTTGATTTGAGATTTGAGGTCCTTATTCGCGACAAAATTATTCAGCGACAAAACTGAAAAGAAACGGAATGAAGCAAGAAGTAGAGGCAGACTCCGTACACAGTTTCAAATATAGAAATAACAGGCCAAAGGATTATGTCACTTGTAAACCAGTTGGCTGACGATCGAGAGGTTGGGGGCCCAGGAGCCGAAACACACCTAGGTGAGAATACTAAGTCGTGCGCGTGCCCGCACGCACGCACACACATACACACACACACACACACACACACACACACACACACACACACACACACACACACACACACACACACACACACACACACACACACACACACACACATGGGTACTGAAAGAGTGTGCAGAGGCACTTTGCCTGCCACTCTCCATAGTGTATAGTAAGTCACTAGAGACGGGAGACCTACCAGAAATATGGAAGACGGCGAATGTGGTCCCAATATACAAAAAGGGCGACAGACAAGAGGCACTGAACTACAGGCCAGTGTCCTTGACTTGTATACCATGCAAGGTGATGGAGAAGATCGTGAGAAAAAACCTGGTAACACATCTGGAGAGAAGGGACTTCGTGACAAATCGCCAACATGGATTCAGGGAGGGTAAATCTTGACTTACAGGCTTGATAGAATTCTACGACCAGGTGACACAGATTAAGCAAGAAAGAGAGGGCTGGGCGGACTGCATTTTCTTGGATTGTCGGAAAGCCTTTGACACAGTACCGCATAAGAGGCTGGTACATAAGCTGGAGAGACAGGCAGGTGTAGCTGGTAAGGTGCTCCAGTGGATAAGGGAGTATCTAAGCAATAGGAAGCAGAGAGTTACGGTGAGGGGTGAGACCTCCGATTGGCGTGAAGTCACCAGTGGAGTCCCACAGGGCTCTGTACTCGGTCCTATCTTGTTTCTGATATATGTAAATGATCTCCCAGAGGGTATCGATTCATTTCTCTCAATGTTTGCGGACGATGCTAAAATTATGAGAAGGATTAAAACAGAAGAGGACTGTTTGAGGCTTCAAGAAGACCTAGACAAGCTGAAGGAATGGTCGAACAAATGGTTGTTAGAGTTTAACCCAACCAAATGTAATGTAATGAAGATAGGTGTAGGGAGCAGGAGGCCAGATACAAGGTATCATCTGGGAGAGGAAATTCTTCAGGAGTCAGAGAAGGAAAAAGACTTGGGGTTGATATCACGCCAGACCTGTCTCCTGCAGCACATATCAAGCAGATAACATCAGCGGCATATGCCAGGCTGGCCAACATACGAACGGCATTCAGAAACTTGTGTAAAGAATCATTCAGAACTTTGTATACCACATATGTCAGGCCAATCCTGGAGTATGCAGCCCCAGCATGGAGTCCATATCTAGTCAAGGATAAGACTAAACTGGAAAAGGTTCAAAGGTTTGCCACCAGACTAGTACCCGAGCTGAGAGGTATGAGCTACGAGGAGAGACTACGGGAATTAAACCTCACTTCGCTGGAAGACAGAAGAGTTAGGGGGGACATGATCACCACATTCAAGATTCTGAAGGGGATTGATAGGGTAGATAAAGACAGTCTATTTAACACAAGGGGACACAGGTGGAAACTGAGTGCCCAAATGAGCCACAGAGATATTAGAAAGAACTTTTTTAGTGTCAGAGTGGTTGACAAATGGAATGCATTAGGAAGTGATGTGGTGGAGGCTGACTCCATACACAGTTTCAAGTGTAGATATGACAGAGCCCGATAGGCTCATGAATCTGTACACCTGTTGATTGACGGTTGAGAGGCGGGACCAAAGAGCCAGAAACACAACTAGGTGAGTACTCAACCCCAGTTGATTGATTGACAGCGGGCCGAAAAAGCACTCAACTAGGTGAGTAAGCAACTAGGTGAGTACTGTAAATCTGAAAAGATAATCTCGGCATCAAAGACAAAACACTAAGGGACTGTACAAAATAAAGGCAGTGCATGTGACCATTTACCCCATGCACCAGACGAGATAACAAAAAATACAAGGTAAAAACTCGAACTTGAAAGAGAGGAACCCCCCCCCCCCTATATAAAAACCGACCAATCAGAGGAAGTCTTGGATCCCGTTCCAGCAGAAGTGCCGTGATAACTTGGCAACCATTACAGTGATTGGCTGGCTAATATGAGGCGGGGGGGGGGGGGGGGTGGGGGGAGGGGGATGGGGGGGGGGGGGGGACAAGGAGGAATGGGGCAATACCTAAAGCTGCTTCCACTCTTGATTACAACGTGATTGGCCTCTTCTGATTACAAATCCCGCCCGGCTACAGATCCAGGATAGAATTCCCGGAGAGAGAAGTTTGTTGAGGGTAGGTTTCCGGGTCTTCCTCCCCCCCCCCCCCCTCTCCCTTCACCCTCCCCCTGGGGGAAGGCAGGAGGGAGGGGGTGGCCGGATGTCTCGCTCTCACGTTTTTACACTTGCTGTATTCCTCCACTTCTTTCACTGAAGACGATCTCAATTCTTGTTGGGATTACCAAAATAAATTCTTGTTCCATGAGTAGGTTTAACCTTCTGTGTTAAAACTTGTTCAAGTAAGATTTCTTTCCAGTTACTCGTATCTTCCTGCTTTCTGTCTGTCTGTCTGTCTGTCTGTCTAACATGAATTACATGGGCTACTCTCATATTCACAAACTCACACACGAACAAACTCTAATGTTCTGCATATAAGCGAAATTTCGCGACAACAAAAACTCTCCACCACACTTTTAACTCTTCACTCACACTCGCCCTTCATAGATGGCACCTCTCCCTGTGCCTCTCCCTCCTCCCCTACCCGCCTACCCCCCGACGCCTCCCTGTCCCCGCCCCAGCGGCGCACAACAGCCTCTCTCTCTTGTTGGGTCACGGGACAACAAGAGAACTGCAGCACATGCTCAGACGTCAACAACCTCCAGATAAGCCTATGTCAACACCAGTGGTCGGGTCTTAAGTAAGGAGAGATGAGACAATGGAGGATAGAAGAGAGGATAGAGAGGCAGAGAAGAGAGCAAGAGAGAGAGACAGAGAGAGACAGAGAGAGAGAGAGAGAGAGAGAGAGAGAGAGAGAGAGAGAGAGAGAGAGAGAGAGAGAGAGAGAGAGAGAGAGAGAGAGAGAGAGAGAGAGGAGGGGAAGAGGAACGTCACGAGGCTTAGACACCCACCCACCCCCACCCTCAGCTTACCACTGGCCACCCACTCTCCAGGATGCAAGCCACAACAGCCGATTAACTCACAGGTATCTATTTACTGATGGGGGCAAATAGAAGCAGCGCGTGTAAGGAAACAGACGCTAATGTCTCGAGTGGAACAGATGGAAGAGAACCTGGTGAGAAGAGAAAGAAGAGGGAATAAGCACCAGCCAGATAGAACCCGCGACGACTGGCTGACTGCCCACCAAACAGGGACCAAGACAGGTGTATGTATGTATGTATGTATGTATGTATATATATATATACATACGTATATATATATATATATATATATATATATATATATATATATATATATATATATATATATATATATACGTATGCCTCTCTCTCTCTCTCTCTCTCTCTCTCTCTCTCTCTCTCTCTCTCTCT